ATATCTATGATACATCTCAAATTTACATTTGAGTGTGATATGAAATAGGGGTCATACGAATATACAATTGCTCCAACACTACTTATTGAAAAGGACATCCTTTCTCACTATAGGATGATGGTACTTGTAAATAAAGTGACAACATGTATGTTGGTCTATTTCTGGGTGGAGAAACTCTATTTTTAATATGTTCACTACAAATATTCCAGCGGATGTGGACTGGATTGGGCACCAGAAGCTCTGTCTTATATGGTTAGTTTTTTTTTTTTTTTTCAGGGAAAGCTGGGAGACTTGGGAGTAGAGGGCGTATTGATCTGTTTGCTGTCATGTCCAACAGTCCCTCCTGGCTCCTTGTGCTCCATCCTAAAGAGCTGGCAAGCAGCCCCCTTCCCTCTCCAGTCACTGTTGACTGCATCATGGTGGATGCCTGATCCAGACCCAGTAAGCTACCTGATGGCTTACGACCAATCAGATTCTCCCTCCTGATAATCTGACCGGAGAGTTCCAGAGACTGCTAATTTGCACTGAAAGATCACATAGAGTAAGTGTTGTGGCTAAATAAAGGGCTGTTAGAGCCATGTGTCAAGTTGAAGTTAAGCAAGAAGGTTCAGGAATTTTAAATTGTGAAAGACAGCTGACCTAGAGAGTGTGTGAGAGAAAGGAATGGAAGTGAGGTGCCAGAGGAATAGGGAGGAGACACCAGATGAGGGAGACATAGAAAGACTGCCTGAAAGCCCTGCGAGAGACCCGCATTAACCAATCCATTTATTTTAATCAATCAATTAATTAATCTTTAACAATTGTTTTGGAAAAAGAGCAAGAAAGATGAAATGGTGGGTTCAGAGCAATCTAAAGTTCTCTGTTGCCCAGAACTAATGTGGTGTGCTTTTTATAATTAAAAAAAGTATCACATACAGATATATTTTAACAGTTTTCTTTTCTTCTTAGACCTCCAAGTAACTTTGAGGTGTGTGTTAGGCAAGATCTCAAGGGCCTTGTGGCCCATCAGCTGCAGCACTGGGACAGCCCCTGTTCCTCCCACCCACCCTTCTCCCCGTGCCTGTGCACTGGGGCCAGATTGGAGCTGCTTTGCCTGGGGAAGGTTTGGGATTAATACCTTCAATATCCCAAAGGCTGTGTATCTTTGTTAAGAAGTCCTGCTTTTATTCAACCTAGTTTAGGTATTTCCTGCAACCAAACACATTCTGATTAGATCACTTGGAATTTCTATTACTTTTATTGCCCTACATGCTCAAGAGGGATGTTGGGTATCCTAGGTAGGAATTGCCACAGAAGCTGGACACGAACATGAGTGGGCACCGAACAATTAAACAGCAGTAGGAGGCAGCTTCAGCTTGGGTTCTTGGGATCACAGGAATTGCTGAAAGGGGATAAAATAGGCAAACGTGACCAGAACATATTTTTTTCCTATTGGAAGCCTGATAGTGTCCATTCATGAGATCCTAGTAATGTGCTCCCTCAGACCCGGAGAAATGGCCGGTCTCAGTGCTTAGCTAATAAAGTGTACACACACTGAGTATGAGGGATGTCTCTGAGAGGAAAGCAAGAAACTGTGTGAATGAGGGCTCAAAGAACTTGGGTGACTCAAATGTGACTCGTAATTAGAAAAAAAGTGTAATCAATTGAATTGTGCCCTTTTTGGATAGGGTAGGTAAACAGAAAGGGCAGAGTCAGCTTGGAGTATGCAAAGTTGGCACATGTACCTGGCATTATCAAGATGTGCAAGATACTCCCCGGGGAGCACCAGCTTTCTGGTGCCTGGAGGAGTCCTCTGCTGGCACAGGGCTCCTCTGCTGGAAGGGCACCTCTACCACTAACCACCACTTCCTTTGATCTGATGCCACACTCTCAACTCATTTCTGATTGCCAGTTGCCAATAGGTCTTCCCCAGTTGAGTGGGAAGACCATGCCTTAGAAAAGAGTAGTGGTGTTTCAGCCACTAGACAGAAATAACTCTCAATGTGATTTGGTTTGTATCTTTCAATAAGCTTAAATGGTAAAAGTCAGCATTCTTGTTTTCAATCAACTCTGGTACACTAACAAAATCAAGAGCACATTCTGGTCAGCTTTCTCAAGTAAATTAACTTCATGGTTATCCCTAAATCATCCCATCACCCCATGGAAGTTTATTTTAAGAAGTCTTACCATTGCCATAGGAATCTTCTGTGTACTATAATTTATAAAGACATTGGCAAAAACTTTGCAGCAGGTACTTAAGTTCATTTGCATCAGAAGGTATTCACATCTTCAGAATTTGCAGCATTTTGTGATTCTTGATAGAACAGATGGGAACAGAAAGAGAGCATGAGAAATAAGGTCATGTCTTAGTCTGCTAGGGCGGCCATAACAAAATACCACAGACTGGATGGCTTAAACAACAAAAGTTTATTTTCTCACGGTTCCGGGAGGCTGGATGTCCAAGATCAAGATGCTGGTAGTTTTCTTCTGAGGCTTCTCTCCTTGGCTTGCAGATGGCTACCCTCTCCCCGTGTCCTCACATAGTTATCCTCTGTGCACTCAGCCCTTCCTCTTCTTATAAAGACACTAATCATGCCGGGTTAGGACCCCACCCTAATGGCCTCATCTTAGCTTAATCACCTCTTTAAGTCATTATCTCTAAATATAGTTAAATTCTGAAATACTGGGGTTGGGACTTGAACATATGAATTTTGGCGAGAGTCAATTCATCCTTTAAGAGGTGGTGAAGGCAAAAGGACTTTTCTATCATCTGGGTGAGTTAGATTAGGGAGAGCTGCTGGGGACCAGATAGACTCACCACTGTCAGCACTCAGACGACTGGCCAGCCATGGTTAGTGTGCCCACTGAGGGCTGTCACCCAACAGAGACGCTTCGTACAGAGAGCATTTTGAAAAGGCAACTTAAAACTATTGTGTTTTCTGGACAGAGGCACAATCAACCTAAGATATCACGGTTTTAATCTCAAAGCCCTCAGATGGGTGATGAACATGAATAGTCCAAGCAAGGCAGGAGCATTGGTCTGGCTTTAGTATAATGGAAGTTGTTGTTTACGGAGAACAACTTCTCCATGGGGAACAGCCAGTCAGCCGGCCTGAAAGAGGAGGATTAGTGCTTCCTGTGCTGAGGCATAGCTTCCCAGAATTCCTGCCATTTACCAGAGTCCAGCTGGTTCCTGGACAGGGTCACCAGACTTCTGAGGGGAGCCTATCAAAGGTCCCTTTCTAACTGCTGGGAGGCCAGAGTCAGCTTGTTATCTGCCAGTTTCTGTTCCAGATTTATGAATGATGAGAGGAAACTGTTGAGCCCAAACTAGCTAAAACAAAATCTCTGTTGCCCTAGTAATGCTTCTAGGGCTTCTGAGAGAGACAGTTCTTCCAGGCACAATTTACTTCACATGCCACTGGCAGCTGCCAGGATAAGGTTGGTGTGAAGAGGGTTGAAAATAAAATAAGGTTTGCAAGGAGCAATGGCCTCAAATTGGAGTTAGAATGACCAATGAATTTATTCATTTATTTATTGAGAATCTACTGCTGGGTCAGGTACTATTAGTGAAGCCAGGAACACACTGCAGCTAAATTGACAACAATCCCTGCCCCCACAGGGTTTTTACCCCACTGGGCAGATGCAGACAATAAATAAACCCATTAAGTGAAATATATCTTATGTCAGATAGTGATATGTATTTAGGGAAAAATGAGTCAGGGAAAGGGAATCAGAAGTGTCCCAGGTGGTGGGCAGCTTCCAATTATAAAGGGTGTCCAGAGATGGCCTCATGGAGAAAGTGACATTTGTGTACAGTCCTGAAGAAAGTGAGGCAGTAGCCAGCAGCTACTGGGGGAAAGCGCTCCAGTCAGAGGGATGCCTAGTGTACTGCCTGGAGGTGCATGCAGGTAAAGGCAGCCAGTGAGGAGAGCCACAGGGCGGTGGTGGGGGGTGAGCTGAGAGGGTGGGGCTAGGGCAGGGGGTCCCAGGGGGCTTTGTAGGCCATTGCAAAGACTGGAAGCCAGTGAGGGTTTTTTCCCCCTAGCTTTATTGAGGTATAGTTGACAAAATTATAAAATATTTAAAGTGTATAATATGATGATTCTGAATTGCAGGTTAGTGGACATATTTGTGGCTTCAGCTTGGTCTCCATCGCAAGATCTTATCACAGATAAACCATGTCCTTAGATCTATCTGAAAGGTTCTAGGAAGAACTCTGATTATTTGATCATTTTCCTAAGATTCTTCAGGCTGCTTGGAGAACAGCCTGAAGAAGGTGAGCATGCCCCTCCATCTCTCTCACTGTGGGCTTGTCTGCACTTACACCGTGTGCTTCCGTTAACTCTCTGTTAAAGGTGCTCATACTAGTGCTGCTTGTGCCCCAGTTACACACTTTAGTCCCGTAACTGTTATAGCTTTCACACTGTTCTCTTTAGTACTGGCCCCCAGCTGTGGGGTTGTACCAGGAAGGGGGCCCAGTTACAATCACCATGCTCTATATAGCCACCCCTTCTTTCTAGACACTACAGACATTTTATTGAGCCCAGCTGGTTTTATCCAGCGCCTTCCTCCCTCAGGATTAGTTCCCTGGGAGGCCTTCAGTCCTCCAGACAGGCCACATTCCGCAGACCTATCTCACCAATTTGCCAGATATGTCCAGCCTTGTCTGGCTCACACTTAGACTCCAGCTGGAACCTGTAGGCCTTATGAATAAATTTCCTCATTACACTTTAACTGCAGCTGATGACATTTATACTGGTCTTCAGTGAAACTACTTTTGTATGGAAAAGACATGCATACTCTGAGATGAATGTGGTCATAGTTAAGTAAGCTATGTGTGATAATCAACTGTTTCTTTTAGTCTCACACTGAAATTGATATCCTTAACAAAATAATTTTGAAATGTCCTAGGATTGCCAGTAAAGAAGCCAGAATATCCCCATGATGCATCACTCATTGTTAATTTAGGCTGGCATCTGAAGATAAAGGCCTGATTCCTCTCTGCATTGGTTGGTTTGTGGACAATGTGGAGAGTCTGCTTCTGGTCAGAGGACACAGAGCCCCAGCTGAAGCTTCATCAGGCTTCTTTTCAGGTGCCCTTTGTTAAGAAACCCGGGAGTAAAATTGCTGTTATAGTTACAAAGACTGTTTTCCATTAAAAATACTTTATTACTTATAAAATGTAACAGGGATAAGAGTGATATATGAGTAACTACATAAACTTGCAAGCTGCAAAAAAAATGTTTTAATGTCATATTTTTATGACATATTACAATACATAATAATACTTTATTAATATAATGTCTTGATTGATCATAAGACTTTTCTGGTTCACTTTTCTGCAAATTTATTTATTAGCTCATTAAAATCTAGATTTAGCAACTTTACTTTTAATTGCTATAATTGGAAGAGACATCTGTTGCTCTTGGCAAGTGCAATATTGCAAATAATTTTTGTTCATTTTTAATTTTGAGGGTTTTTTCTGCTGACATAACTGTTACTGGAGTTTTTATTATTTTATAGTTTGTAACCGCACTGGCATACATTTTTATACATTCTTTCAAAATGTAACTTTTAGTACATCGAGAGCTAATGATCCTAACAGAGTAATTTTTCTATAAAGATTTAACTCTTCACACAAATCTGCTTTGTGTAAGTTTAATTTAATGTTAAGCATAAATTTATACAACATTTTAATGTTTCTTCGGACAGTTCCTGTAACTTGTGGAGGTAGTGTAAGAAACTGAAAGTGGCTTCATGATAATGTATGTAACTCAAAATGCCGGTTTATTCATGCTGTTGCTGTATATTCAACACAGGAAAATTCATTAAAAATTGTCTTCCTCATTAATAATTGGCTCACTGAAGCTTAAATGGAAATGGTGCTCTTTTTCATCAAATGTAGTGATCTTTAAGTTTTAATTTCTTAGTCTGTGGATATTTGCTTTGCATCGGTTTTCAAAACTGGAGGTTCTTGGAAGATTTTAATAACTCCCTCATATCTTTATATTCCATGTGTATACTTGTATTTTGTAATAATTTACTGACAAAGGTCACTGCCCAAGAGCCAGCAGTTCCTGTCTTCCTCATCTCTGATAGTACATCTGCTTCTCTCCTTGCTTGCTGTCCTCCAGCCACACATCCTCCTGGTGGTACCTCCAGCATGCCAAGCATCCTAGTGCATTTGCATTTGCTCGTCTCTCTGCGCGACACGCTCTTCCCCCAGGATGGCTTCATAGTCAGCTTTTTCGCTTCCTTTACATTTTTATTCAAATATCTTATCAGGAAGGCTTTCCCTGATACTTTATTTTAAAAAGCCTCCCTCCTAGCACTCTCTCTCCTGGGTTTAGTTTTTCTCCATAACACTTACCACCAAAAGGCATCCTAAATATTTACTTTTTGCTGTTTATTGTCTGTCTCTCCTTTCTAGAATATAAAATGTAAAGGGCCAAGGCTTATGTTTCATTCACTCTATTGCCAGAGCCTAGAATTGGACTTGGCCCAGAGTAAGCACACAGTAAATAGTTATGAGATGAATGAGGTGGGACTCTTGAAGCCTGGCTGCTCTTGTCAAGGGCACACTGATTTCTAAGCAGGATGCTGTGGGTCAGTCACAAAGAGTTGTAATTAATCTAGGGAAGCAGTTGCCAAAGTGGGGCCTATGGACCCATGGGGGACCTGGAGGCCCGTTTTCACTGTGTTAACATTTGGACTGATAGTTCAAAAACAATGGTGGGTAAAATTGCTGCTGAGGTAGCACAAATTAAAGCAATGCCACCAATCAGTACTATTAACACTGCACCTAATGTCTGATTCACCCTGTGCACGTAGAAAGAAGAATTACCAATTTTACTTAAGAATGTTCTTGATGTAAAAACTATATTAAATCTCAACCCTTGAGTAAAAGACTTGTTAATATTTGGTGTGATGAAAAGGGAAATATGCATAAAGCACTTTTGTTGCAAACCAAAGTGTAATGGTTGTCTCAAAGAAAAGCCCTGGTGAAAATGTTGAGTTGGTAGCTGAACTAGCCACTTTCCCTAAGGAAAACCATTTTATAAAGAATGACTGACATAGAAACTATGGTTACTTAGATTTGAATATTTGGCAGACATTTTCTAGAAAATGAATGAAATGAGGATGTCATTTCAGGAGAAACAACGAAAAGTATTGTTGGCAATTATAAAATTTGGGTTTTCAACTGAAAATTATAATTTTGTACCCACCACTAACTTGTATCCACGATAGTGAGTTTGACAGCTTTCCAATACTTGAAGACTTTTTGATAAGATCAATGATATATTATGGAAATACATGTATATGTAATGAAATGTGTTGACACTTGAAAGATCTGTGTAACTCAGTGAGCCAGTGTTTTCCAAATGACCATGTTGTTATAACACTATGTGTGGAAAAAGAGTTATTCAAACTATAAAGTGGGTCAAAGGATATTAATATAACAGCATATGAAAAATAAGTTAGCATAGTTTCAGATTCCACACTGCAACTAACCTTTAAGAAACTACCACTTGTCAAGTTTTGATGTGGTTAAGGAAGAATATCCACAATTATCTGAAAAGGATATTAAAATATTTCTCTTTTTTCAACTATATACTGGTGTGAAGATAGATTTTCTCTATATTTTTTAACTAAAAACAACATGATATAATAAACTGAAGGCAGCAAGCAGACATGAGACTCCAGCTGTCTTTTATTAAGCATGACATGAAACAGATGTACAAAAATGTCAAGCAGTGACACTTTTTGCACTAATTTGTTTTGGAAAACGTGGTTACTTCTTTAATGGCTTTATTTTAAGGCATCCTTGAAATACAGTATACTACCCATAAATTTTAACATACGACTGTATCTATGAAACCATCATTCCCATCAAGATGAGTATATACTCACCACTACCAAAGGTTCCTTGTATTCCTTTTTAATTCCTACCTCCTTCCCTTTTTACCTCCCTCATTTCTAGGCAACAATTGGTCTTTCTGTCACTATTTTAGTTTGCATTTTCTAAAATTTTATATAAATGGAGTATGTACACTTTTTTTCTGGCCTTTTTCATAGCACAATTATTTTGAGGTTCACCTGTTTTTGCATGTATCACAAGCTCATTCATTTTTATCATTAAGTATTCTACTACTGTATTTATATAGCATACTTTGTTCCTCCACTCACCTATTGCTTTGGTCTAAATGTTTGTGTCTACGCAAAATTTGTATGTTGAAAACCTAATGCCAAAGTGATGATGTTAGGAAGTGGGGCCTTTAGAAAGTGGTTACATCATAAAGACAGAGACTTTATGAGTGGATTTAGTGCTTTCATGAAAGAGGCCCCAGAGAACTTGTGCCTGAGGATACAATGAGAGATCTGCTAGAGGAGGAGGACCTGGAAGGAGGACAGCACCTGGCTGTGTTCACCCTGATCCTAGACTTCCAGCATCTAGAATTGCCAGAAATAGATTTCCATTGTTTATAAGCTACTCAGTATTTGGTATTTTGTTATAGCAGCCCAATGGACTAAGACACTTGCTGATGGGCATTTGGGTTGTTTTTTGGTCTGGGGTATTACAAATAAAGCTGCTATGAACGTTCCTATGTGAGTCTGTGTGTGGACATTCTTTTCATTTCTCTTCAGTAAATACCTAGGAGAGAAATGGTTGGGTCATATGCTAGATGTATTTTCAACATTTTAAGAAACGTCCAAAGAGTTTTCCAAAATACAGATGGTCCACAATGGTTCAACTTACAATTTTTTCACTTTACAGTGGTGCAAAAGTGATATGCATTCAGTGGAAACTGTATTTCCAATTTTGAATGTGTATCTTTTCCCAGGCTGGCGGTGAGTGGTATGATCCTCCTGTGACACTGGGCAATAGCAGTGAGCTGCAGCTCCCTGTCAGCCACACGATCAGGGCGGCGAACAACTGATACACTTACAACCATTTTGTGCCCATATGACCATTCTGTTTTTTGCTTTCAGTACAATATTCAATAAATTATATGAGATAGTCAACACTTTACTATAAAATAGGTTTTGTATTAGATGATTTTGCACAAGTGTAGGCTAATGTACTGAGCATGTTTAAGGTAGGCTAAGCTATGATATTCAGTAGGTTAAGTATATTAAAATATATTTTCAACTTGATATTTTTTAACTTAGCAGTGGGTTTATCAGGACATAGTACCATTGTAAGTAGAGGAAGATCTGTAGTTGTACTATTCTCACCAGCAGTGTATGAAAATTCAAGTTCCTCCACATCCTCACCAACACTATTCAATTCTGGCCATTCTAACAGGTGTGTATTGACATGTTGTTGCTTAACTGAATGACCAGTGATGTTGAGCATATATTCATATGTTTATTCACCATCAGTATATATTCTTTGTTGAAGTGTCTGTTCAAATATTTTGCCCATTTTCAAATATTTTGCCCATTTTTATTTGTGATGTTTTTCTTACTCTGGGTTTTGAAAGTTTAAAAAAATACATATTTTAGATAAAAGTCCTTAATCAGATCTGTGATTTGCAAGTATTTTCTCCCAGTCTGTGACCTGTTTTTTATTTTCTTAACATTCTTTCAGAGAACAGAAGTTCGTAATTTTGAGAAAGATCACTTCGCCCTTGTACCCTGACACTCTGCTGATCCCCACTGACCTGCTCTCCTTCTCTTGTTGATTTCTCACTCCATTGTGGTTGAAGAAGATACTTTATATGAAACAATCTTTTTTAATTTGTTGAAACCTGTTTTGTGGTCTAACAGGGAAGGCTTCCCTGTGAAAGTAACAATTACATTGAAGGCTGAGAAGCGGGGAAGTGTTAACTTGGTGAAGGTGAGAAGAAATAGGAATAATTTTCACTACTCCATTTCCCTTATCAGAGGCTGACTTGCTAGTCTTTTCTTCCTCTACCTTCTTCCACTCCTATTGCTCCTCATTCTCTTCCTTTTCCTCTTTCTTCTCCCTCTCTCTTTTCCTCCTCCCCCTCTTTGGGCTTTTATTTATTTGGAATAAATGTTAAAGCTTTTCCCAGTTTGATGAACAATATTAGAGCATTTGTGCATAAGATGTTTATAAGCAACGGTAAAGTTCAGAAGGAGATCTGTGCTTGCTTGTGTGAGCTGATCAATTTTAGGGAGAGGTCAAATTTTCAGGGTTTTGATGATCCTTGGCTTATTGTTGTGGGTGGAGGGGAAGCAAGAGGGTGAGAGGAAAGGAAGGAGCTGGGACCAATCAGATCATAAGCTGGGCTATTTCTGGTGAGGAGATTTAATTTCAGTGATAAGTCACTAAACCATCAGAATAACTAAATATATTGTGTATTAAGGTTTAACCACACTGGACAATCTACTTTAATGTAAAATAGTCATTTTTTCCCCCTTCCTCTTTCATGGCACATGTTACATAGTGGCTGCTCAAGAAGTGTTCCTAGTTGCATTGAGCTGAGCTAGTTTTGGTTATCCAAAATTTCTCTTGTTTTTATTAGATAAGAAAATGGGGGTATTTATGGCAGTATTTCTCACTCAATGACATATTCATTCTTGAAATCCATTTTTATCATGGCTGTCTCTCTGCATTAGAATAGTAGTTACAAGTCAGTCAGCCACTGGACGTGGATACAGGAATTTCTGAAAAGATTTTCTCTCTTTTTGATTGGCTGCAGATTCATAGACTTGTGAGTGCAATAAGGAGGCAGGTATGAGTATACTGCTTACAAAAATTTTCTGAGTAGATTTTCCTACCTCTTACCACGGGCAAATTTTCTTTTATATGACCACAGAAAAGAGTTAAAGACCACAGTCAAAAAAGCCATCAGTATTTACAAAGATGTTTCCATCTTTCACTATGAAGGGCCTCTCATGATTTTAGAGCGCAAAATAATTTGTCTTTCCAGGAAACTAATTTAGGAGGATATATTAAATCATTGAGAGAACTATGCATTAAGGTATTAATGAACAGACAACAGATGTGTATTGAATGCTTCAGCTTGCCAGGCATTGTTATAGATGATACAATGATGAATGAGATAAAGTCTTTTCTCTTATAAGGGTAGAATTCTAGTGAGTGAAGGCAATAGAAAACAAACAAAAAAACATAATATAATGTTAAGTGGTGGAAAATCTTATGAAAAATAGTGCAGAATAAAAGGTTAAAGGGTGATAATGTATCCAGGGGAGACTCCCTTGAAAAGTTGACATTTGTACTGAAGAGTATTACAAAGACAATGAAGGAGGTTGGCTTATTTGAGGAATAGTCTTGAGGCCAGGGTGGCTATAACATTAGTAAAAAGTTACTCAAGTTTTGTGAAAAACATCAACAAACAGAACCAAGAAATTTAATCTCAAAGAAGACAAACATGAAGACATACCTAGACACATTGTAATCAAACTGCTGATAACCAAAGACAGAAAAAAATCTTAAAAGCAGCCAGAGGAAAAAGTCACATCACATGCAAGAGAATAGTGATAATAGCTAACTTCTAACTTATCAGCTAGAAACTATGATGACAGCTAACTTCTCTCCAGAAATTATGGAGAAGACAGCAATGGAATAGTATCTTTAAAGTCTTGAAAGGAAAATACTCTGTCAAGTACAAATTCTATATCTATGAAAAATATCCTTTAACAAGGAAGGTGAAATAATGCTCTCATTAAAATGACAGCTAAGAGAATTCTTTGCAAACAGACTCATTCACACTATAGAATGCTGAAGGAAGTTCTTTAGGTAGAAGGAAAACACAACCAGTTGGATACTCAAAAGCAATGAATAAAACTAAATGGCTAACATGAGGACAAATATAAAAATTTTTTTGTATAATTACTTTATCTCTGTTCAGTGATAGGGGCTGGATAACTCATGTTCATTATCAGCCTTTGCTCTTTTGAACCAAGCAGTCTAGCACTGTCTCAATGTGCCTACCTCACAGATATAAAAAGTCTCCAGTAAGCATGCTCTTTATTAAGGACTTCATGTCTCTATTCTAAACATCCATATTATTCCCCTTTAGAGAAATTCTTAAAGATTCATCTTTTATGTTAAGATATAATTTCAGCTTCATTTAACAGAGACACAAAATAGAAATGGCAAAAATGAAATGGAAGTTTCTTTCTTTCACATGGAAAAATCTGTGCTGGTCTAGCAGCTGTGTTCTGCAAGATCACTGGGAGCCTAGACTCATTCTCTCTTGTTGACCCACCAGCTGTGTGGTGGTGTGCTCATCCATATGGTCCACAATGACTCAACAACATGCTTGTATTCCAGCCAGTGGGAATAGGGAAGGAGGAAGGCATAGGTGTGTCTTTTCACTTTAAGGACAGAATCTTGAGTTGCACACACATTAATCTCATCCTCTGGCCAATACTCAGTCACAAGGGTGCCTAGGCTATATAGTCTTTAGTCAAAGCAGCCTTAAGTCTCAGTTAAACAAATCACCAGGGGAGATAGAAGGTGGACACTGATACAAAAACAACAGTCTACTTCAATTATTTCTTTTCCTCTGATGTTTAAGGTTTCTAGTGCTCCGTTAAAGATTAGCACCTGGGCAAGTGGCTGGCCTACCTCTTATTCTGCATCCACCCCGGAGTTCATCACAGGATGAGGAGAGGGCATGGAGGTGACCCTACAATATATCTTCCAACAGGTATAGCACCTTTTCATTTGTTTCACACACTTGTCTTCTGCAAAAAATACTATGTGAAGAAAGGGTTACCCAGTTGTGATGGTTAATTTTATATGTCAACTTGACTGGGCCATGGGATTCTCAAATAATTTGGTCAAACATTTCCCTGAGTGTGTCTGTGAGGGTGTTCTTGGATAGATTAGCATTTGAACCAGTAGTCTGTGTAAAGCAGATTACCTCCCTGATGTGCGTGGGCATCATCTAATAAGCTGAAGTTCTGAATTTAGAACAAAAAAGGCTGGCTCTCGCATAAATAAAATAGAACTCTTCTTGCCTGACTGCTGGAGCTGGGATATTGGTCTTTTTCTGACTTGAAACTCAGATGGAAACATTGGATTATTTTGGGTCTTGAGCCTTCGGCTTTCAGACTGGAATGCACCCCACTGGCTCTCCCAGGTCTCCAGCTTGTTGGCTGAAGATCCTGGGACTTCTCAGCCTCCATAACCATGTGAGCCCAATTCCTTATAATAAATCCTTCCTCCACCTCTCTTTCTATACTTATCTTACTAGTTCTGTTTCTCTGGAGAATCCTAACAAACCAGTTTAAAAAAAACCCTGAAAACCACTGATTTAGTCCCTTTATGTAAGAGATGAGAAATTGGGGCCCAGAACCATTGTGACTCCCACAAATTAGGTAGCCACAAATGTAGGACTAGATGTAGTCTTTTAATAGTCAGTCTAATGTTCATTACACAGGGTGTTTTCCTTGTCTTTCAGGTCACATTAAGGATAAAAATATACTGTGTTTTACTAAAAGTCATATTTATATAGTACTTTTCAGGCACAGTTGGTCTTAGGCTTCCTATTATTTGAACAATCTTCCTAGAAACTGTAAAATAAAAATTCACTTTTCATAGGAAGTTTTTTCTAGGCTAAAATGATGGGAATATGTGGAGAACAAACACAATTTGCTATTTTAATGGTCACACCTGGAACAGAACATTCTTTAAAGTCTCTTTGGTAGCTGAATTGGTGACTGAATTCCACAAACGAATGCCAACATCACCAAAGTAAAAATACAAGTGTTAGAACACAGAAACACTGTAAGTACTCTGCATTAAGCAGACTAGAATCCAGATTTAATTATTAAAGTTCAAAAAAAATAATAACCTCTTGCTGTGGCGGAGTTTATACAAGTAACACTGCACCATCCTCTTGTGTGTAGGTGGGAAGAGAAAGCAGTTAGTCTCTCTGAAACAGACATTGGAAAGAATCAGAATTTTTATGCATACAATGACAATATTCTCTATAGTAAAAATTAGGTCACGCCAGCAATGGCTTTTAGGAAGGAGTTAATGGAAACTCTAGTCTGATAATGGCTGCAGTGGTCTGGGAACTTGTATCAATTATTTTATTTCTATACTACTAAAAAAAAGTCTTTTTTTAAAGATACAATTCACATAACAAAGTTCATTTAAAGTGTACAGTCCAGTGGTTTTTAGTATATTCACAATGTTGGGTAGTCATCACTACCATCTAGTTCCAGAACATCTTCATCACCCCGAAGAAGCCGTACCAATTAGCAGTGACTCCCCATGTTCCTCTTTCCCCAGTCTCTAGCAGCTATCAATCTACTCTCTGTCTGTACAGATTGCTTTTTCTGGACATTTCCTAGAAATGGAATCTTACAATATGTGACCTTTTGTGTCTGGCTTCTTTCACTGAATGTAATTTTCAAGGTTCATCCACACTGTAGCATGTATCAGAATCGCATACCTTTTTATAGCCTAACAAGCCTTGGCTTACCTAGCAGACAGGGAGCTTTGAAGCCTAGACTGCTCAATAGAATTTCAGGCCTAGCCTTTAAACCTTACCTAGCAGGTTGCTTCAAAAAGGCCATGACAATGGATTGGGCATGCTCTGCAGCTGAGGTGGGTACCACACCCCGCCCCCATCCTAGCCAACTCCGTATCTGCATTCTAATTTGTGTCCCTCAGCTCTCTGAGACAGCCAGTGTCCTCTAGGGTTCCTCCTCCCTTTATGCCGCAGCCCAGAAAACACTGGACCGGTTGTGGGGCTCCCCTTGCTGGCTTCCCTTCTCTTAGGGATCACAGTTCTGTGCCTCCTATAGTCAAATAACTTAATTGTTTCAAATAGCTTTTTCAGTTTTATAGTTGTTTTCAACACCATAGGGCTTGTTCAAAACTATTTACTCAATCATGTTGGGAAGAAAAAAATCTTGGTTCAACTTTTGAGAGTCAGATATGTTGACATTTTCATTTTTTTTTTTTTTTTT